AAATTAAATTAGTTTTATGATGAAAACACTCACTACATGGAATGATTAAAATTGTCTTTTGTCCGACTTAACTCACCTAACATAAATCAAAGGTAGTCGGTAATATTCACACCAAACAGACTAAATTATTGATAACACTTTCTCGTCTTAACACCACTAAACTGAATGTAACTGGAATTCAGCTCTAAACGTGAATTTACGACTTAACCTCAATCCACCTTTTACCTAGTAAGAAACGGTATTAATGTGAGAAGTCAATCTGAACGAAGAATATTCTTTTCAATAATCTCCCCTCTTCAGGTTCTTACAATTATAAAATATAATATTTGTTGTCGTTACAATAATCATAGCCAGTTAGTTATGCGGTGGATACATTTTTCAACGTAGAATAACAAACAGATTAGCAGTTATGTGGTGTCAAAATAAGTAGTAGTATTTGTGTGACAAACTGGCTAGGCTGAAATCGATTACAAATTATTGTAAAATAGGAGACAATGCTGGTGATTAGTCATAATAGATTTGTAGAATTGACAAGTCAGTTCAAGGTAATAAAAGGTGTCAGGTGAGTGGCTAGTACAAAGTGGTATGTATTAAAGAGGAAATGGTAAGACTGTAATGAGAGGTTCATAGTGAAATAACGAATGTGTGAAATATAACAGGTGGACGCATATATTGAGAAAAGAGATAATATCACTAATAACAAGTCCGGATAGTATAAATGGAAAATTCGATAGAATTGAGAGAATGTTTGCATGAAGGGCATAAATTATGACGAATAATAATAACTGCAATAATAAGCAGACAAAAACAAACCAAGAGGGTTAAGGAAAAGAGGCACCCTTGGTGAGAAGAAAAATCATTAATGCAACTTTGACCGTGGTAGTAACAGCATCTGTACGTGTTCTTTTTGGATACAAAGTTCTGGTTTAGTCGATCTTATTGCAACAGCTTCAGCTATGTAAAGGAGACGTTAGCAAACTATACGTGATAACGAATTCAAAATTCGGTGTATAAACCTGAAAGCTGTGTTGACGTCGATGCGATGTCCAGTATCCACCTTTTAACCCTGAACCGACTACTCGACAATCTATGAATCTATTATGACTGATCACCACCATTGTCTCCTATTTCACAATAATTTCTAATCGAGTTCAGCCTACCACGACGTTTGCCACACAAATACGACTATTTATTTTGAATTCCCATAACTACTAATCTGTTATTCTACGTAAAAAATGTATCTGCCGCATTACTAACTGGCTATCATTATTTTAACGACAACAACTATTATATTTTATAATTTTAAGAACTTGAAGAGGAGAAATTATTGAAAAGAATATTCTTCGTTCAGATTGGCTTTTAATTCATGATATGGGAATATTTCACACCATAAAATCTTAATATGGTGTGTAAATAGCAGCATAAACAATAACACTCTCACGAGTTGATCACTGATTGATATCACTTCCAGCACCATTGAGAACCAACCAGGGAGTACTGGATAGCTGTTCCGTCCAGCTAGTTTGGGAATCATACGCAGTACGCTCCCACTACCAGGGGTCGAACCCAGGACCTTCTGGTTACGGGGCAAGCTGACTCGTATACCATTCAGCCAATGGGACCCCATTCAATGAATTCTAACTTCTAGCAATTCGTGGGCCACCTGAGCTATAAATCTTCTCTGTTACAGTGAATGTGTTTTATTTTACAAGGCAAAAGAATTATATAGCTTACAATAGTGTAATTTAGTATAACTAATGCGACTTATTCTAGGGTAGGGCATAGTTTTTTTGTAGAATCCATCATAATGATACGACAAGTATATCTTCCTTGGCAAGAGAAGAGTTCTTACCAGTTTCTTCCCGTGGCTCGGTTATTTTTCAGTATAGAGGAGAAATGAAATCGTTGAGGTGTACACTCTTTAAAAGTTTCCTTCTTATAAACTTTTAATATATAAAATTCTAATTATTCTTATCACTTTTAATAATCAGGAAATGAACTCATGAGAAATATATAGGTTAATCCTTCTAGGTCAGTTAATCTACTGATCTCACTAGTTTAACTATATATATATATATATATATATATAAAACTCAAAGTTATCTAACTGAAATGTAAAAAAAAATTGAGGGAAATTATTAGAATTCAAATTACGCAGACTTAGTTTCAGTTGCATAAGTTTATATTCACTTCACCAGTCTCGAGTCGTTCATCTACGTTTATCTAAGCGATTTATGAAGACAAACATCTTACACATATTTGTAAAGTCCATGGTTTAATGGTTGAACCACGCCTCACGTAGGCCGAGGTTCGATTCCCAAGCCACTGGCTCACTCCTGAACCTCGCTGCTTAGTCAATTGCAAGCCCAGTAAAGTTGGAAGGTTGGGTGGTGTGAGGCTGGCGAAAGAACCAGAAAAAAACAACAGTGCCACTGAAGTTTCAAAGCTCATGTTTGAGGCCTAATATTCCACTGAGGACGCAGAGGAATACATTTACTGTAAAAATACTGTGAAAAGTGGTATGATTCCATCTTGCCTGTAGGTTATTCTATAAATTCTTACTCAATGTGCTTAGGTAAAGGGGCAGAAAAGTCGATCAACAGTTCCAAATTGACACATCTTATGGATACGCGGGATCCCAGCAGTGATAAAAATTTGTCCTTTATAATTCCATACAAGGTGACAACACCTCAGTTCCCTAAGTTTGTAGGCCTTCGATTGTTAAGCATAGGTGAGATAGTCGCCATAGACATTTTTTAGCCCAATCTCTTTGTTCAGAAAAACATTGTCCAATCCCTCTGATATTTACCAGACAACTGTGTCGATAAACAGTAGAATCGAAAATGCATTTGGGGAAGCTTTCGTCATGAAATCTCTTCTACATATTCTCATTTCCTTCCATATTAATTATTTTTATTAGATATTTCACACAATGAAACAGTATTATTTACTGGATGACGAAGTTTAGAACACAATTTATTACTGTTCATAATCGTATCAATTATAACCACACAACTTCAAAACTTTCGTTTTATACTTTTCCTTATTATTCCCTATTCTTCGTCGTAGGGGCAGTAAAATTTTCCAGATGTCCTGGTTGACAAGTGTTGATTCAATTTTACACCATGTATTTTCAGTTGATTCGATAAACAAAGCTTCCGTTATCAGTCTCTCTCTCTTCATCCTGTTGTATGAAATTTTAACACTATCGTCTTATCCCATCCTATTGTATGGTTGTGTCCAATTGCATTTAGTGCTATAACTGGACTATTCTCTAGATTTGTTATCTTATCTAGATTTTACCAGATCTTTTATGCTCCACTAGTCTGACTGACTGACCCTGTTCTACTAGTTTGCCTACATATTTGACCTGAAAATCATTCCAGCAGGGTATTTGATAAACTAAAATGTTTCGGTTAACTGGCTCCACAGGATCCTTTAACAGACAAACCTTGTTTCTAATGGAGTTTCTGCGTCACTGAATGCCACTTTTACTTCTGCTCAGAAGTTCCTTCTTTGTATGGAAGTACTATTGGTGATGATTTAAATTCCTTATTGTTGGTTTTGTCATCATCATATCGTCTAATAAACAAATTATTATGGAATTACACGCTACTACAGTGCCCAAGTTTTACACATACACTGATTCTTATAAATGGAGTTCACAATTCCTTTTCTCTTCTGTGTTAAATCCTGAACTCTGCATACAAAAGAAGTTTGTTTAGTCATTAAATCTACAACGGACCTGATCAATCTTAACACTAAATACGTAATTTTTGTTTCTTGATTGTATCATTTTCTTCCCCACCCCCTATTGAATCTCTACTCTTTATTACCACTTTTGTTAACTTGACTTACGTTCAGTTTTAATTTTTGTTGAGCTCTGCTCAGTTCCGCCAATTATATTACATCACTCAACTTATTTAATGTAATTTTTTATTTGAGTTGATCACGGATTGATATCAGCTAGAGAACCATTGAAAACCAGGAAGTACTGGACAGTTGCTGTTTCATCCTAGTTTGGGACTCTTCATCAGTACGCATCCACCGAGGTTCGAACCCACAGCCTTCTGGTTACAAGGCAAGCTCGTAGACCATTGAGCCACTGGGACCCGATTCAACGGCCCATGAATTCTAACTTCTACCAATTCGTGATTTAGCACGACCCCAACCAATATGGTCGGTAGGACATCCATCCTCACACGTGACAAAACTAACCCTTACAAACCAAATTATAGAAAATTAATCAGATATTCTCTAGTGACTTGCTACAGGATGGAGTTTCCTGGAGTTCTAGTGAGAAGTCGTGACCAGTGAGGTCCAAACAGTCAAGTGTGAGGATAGATTTCCCACCGATGACATTGGGTGGTGCCAGTCGCGCTAAAAGTCACGAATTGGTAGGAGTTAGAATTTATGGACTGGTGGTCATTGAATTGGGTCGGGTCCCAGTGGCTGAATGGTATACGAACCAGCTCGCCTTGTAACTGAAAGGCCCTGGGTTCGAGCCCTGGAGGGGTAGGTGAATACTGCCTATGATTCCCAAACTAGTTGGACGAAACGGCTATCCTGTACTCCCTGGCTGGTTTTCAATGGTTCTCTAACTGATATCAGTCCGTAATCAACTCGTAAAAAGCAAAACTAACCCTTTCAACCAAAACTATAGAGAATTTTATTTTAGTTTTATACCCGATTAATGCTTTCTACATTGCGTAATTTGTCATCTGAAATTTACAATCCTAATGACACATGTTTGGAAATATTCCTTTTGTTACTGAGAAAATTTATTATATATATGCGACTTTAGAGCTTGAGAATGATACTGCCGAAAAGAGTAACTCTTCACTGAACGCCTTTTCTTTTATATGACTCGATTCTATTTGTTTATTTTAACTATAAACGTGTTACTATAAATATCCATGTGGCTGAGGTTCATTTTGCCAGATGGTAGACTTTAAAGCCGTGTCCTTTATTATAGATTATTGACAAAAACAACTACTCACCAGTCTGTTTGACTATCATCTATCACTAGAAGTATTTTCTGATGTTCTTTAGACGATATCTTCCCAGATATATTTTGAGCAGTTGAAGCAGCAGTATTAATACCACGCATAATTGTATTCGATATCTGTCCAGTTAAACTACCCATTGGACCCATAAGTGAAGCACCAAGTCCAACAGATCGTGCTGGTGAAGTAGGAGCACTTGGATATGCACCACGTCCACGACCTATAGGTCCCTGATAGTAATTAGATCCGCCTATTGCTGCTGCTGCTGTTGTTCCTGTGCCTCCGTATACCCCAGTCATATGATCAGCCACACCCGCTGTCGGTGGACCTTGTTTCATATCATAGTTTACAGGACGCGCAGAACTAAAATCTTGTGGTTGATTTGAGTATCCTTGTACACCCCCTTGTCCGCCAGGTTGAATATTTGATGAACCAGGCTGTTGGTATTGCTGATATGGCATTTGTCCAGGCTGTGTAGACGATCCAAATCGTAGAAAACTAGGCAGTCCTTCTTGCATACGTTTGTCAGCTAATTCCCCCTGTAGATCTCCTGAAGAAAAGCGCCTTTTCAAGTATGTAATCATGCTGGTTTCAGTTAGATTGAATTCAACAATTGATGCATTAATCCAATTTTAGTTTATTTTTTTGTTGTTGAAAGAAACTTTGTCTAACTAACTGTTCTTACAATGTCCACATATAACACGTGAATTTCAGCAGAATTCCAAACAGAGTGACTCAGAAAAGCCTATGATATTATCAGAGCTTAACTTTGGGTAGGTTAAATCAATACATTGCCCATTCATTTATCGATGATTGGTTTATAAACATACATATAAACATACAACATTACAGTCTGCCAATAGATAACAACTTCCTTTAATTTAATCCTACATTGAGAGAGTCAGGAAATTAGAATATTTGCCTCAAAAAGAGTCTGCCCTGAGTTTAACAGAATTTGACCTTAATAAAAATGTACATTTTACCAAGAGATGATTGGTTCAGAGGATTAGGCAACAACTTAGCTTTAGTAGAATAGTAATCCTTTGATTGGTAATAAGCGGGGTGAGATGATATCCTGTCTAAAAAGAATCAATAGTAGAACTCGGTTGTCTATAAATATGTATGTATAAAAATGTAGGTAGGGAACAGTACAACAAACAATAAACATACTCGAAAGAATCTGACAATGCTTATTGTGAGTGTCACTACAAGTAGTCAGTGTATAGCTATTAGGAATACACGTGTTGCCCGTCAAAATAAAATGCATTTTAGTAGGGACATAGTTAGGAAATTGAATAAAATTGATTTGAGTAAGATAAATAACCGTTTTATTGTTTACAGAAATCTGAAATCACAAGTGCAGTTGAGTACAACTAACAACTTGACATAAATTTTCGCCTGAATTATCACTTTACGCCAGAAACTTACCATTCTGGTATGTACTCAACCTTCCACTTTAAAATCTGAGCCTTGTTCATGATAAAAAAAGACATTTACGTTATGTGGATATGAAGTGACTTTTTTTCACATCATCTGAATCAGTTGAAATTATTATTATTATTGTTTCCTTTAATTCCTAGAGGAACATAGGGCTTCAGTCGTGCGTCTCCATTGCGTTCGGTTCTCTGCTACAGTCTTCACCTGGCTCCAAGTCTGCCAACACGTTTTCATCTCCTCTTCACATGACATCCTCCAAGTCACCCTCGCACTGACGACCAACTCGCCGCTTCTCTTTCGAGTTCCACTCGAGGGCTTGTCTAGTGGTGTCACTTGATGGTTTCCTCAGAGTATGGCCAATCCAACTCCATTTCTTCCTGCCTATTTGTTTCACAATCGGTTCCTGCTGAGTTGGTTTGCTCCCAGAGATCTCTGTTCCTGATCCGTTCTGGCCATCGGATCTTCAGTATTGAGCGAAGACAGCTGTTGATGAAGTCTGTAGTTTGTTTGAGATGCTCTTTATGACGCGTAGTGCAAGTCTCTGATCCGTATAGTAGGCAGCACTGACTTCACATTGGAGTTGAAAATCCGGATCTTATTTTTGATGCTGAGTGTTGTTGACCTCCACAGCGACATGAGAGTAGTGAAAGCTTGTGTTGCTTTTCCGATTCTTGCTTTGATATCCTCGTCAGTTCCGTAGGCCTGTAGTTGAGATGATGCTTCCCAGGTAGGTGGGTAAAGGAGGTTGTTTCTTTCAGGTTCCTCCCATTTATGCTGATCGTTGTCTGTTGTTGTTGTTCTTGTCCAGGAATCTTCATTACCTCTGTTTTCTCTATGTTCACCTGAAGTCCTATCTTTGATGCTTCTCGAAACTGAAATTACTATTATGATTATTTTTTACGGTCTGTGTTGCCGGATATTTTTCTCCGCTTACTACCTTTTCTATTCATTTGCGTTCCAAGTAAAGCACAGGGCTGCTTCAAACTAGAGCTTTGTAGCTTCAATACTAGTGAGGTTGTGTTTTATGGGGTGGAGTTGCTCACTTCACACCAACCAACCATCTCTCTTTACCGAGTTTAGCGAGGTTAAGGAGTGCGTCTGTCCGAATAGCTTACTGGCAACGTCTCTGACTGTCGCATTGGGTGACACAGCTTCGAATCTGAGAGGGGACATGAATTCTTCCAAGATTGTAGGTATGCCTTGCTGACTGTGCGTCGGTGGTTCAGCGGTAGAATGCTCGCCAACTACGCCCCACGTGTTCCGGGACTCAATCCCCGGCCGACGCACTCCTTTACCTTACTAAGCCAGTCATATAAATGGTACAGAGGTAAGGTTGTGCTGGAGGCTAGCAATCCAACCCCGTAGTAATCAAAGCCGCTGCTACCGAGACTCCGAAGCTCTATGTTGAAGCCCTGTGTTCCACTGAGAACTTAAATGATTAAGATAAACTGTTTGGAAAATCCCTCTTCAACTATTTACTTACGATATTGATGCTTATATAAGCATTTCAACTACCTGTGTAATTAATTACTATCTTTTTTCCTACACTGTATATCATTGTTCTCACGTTTACATACCATCTGTCACCTTAATCCTTATCGTTTTTCTGTCTTCCTTCCTGTTTTATCTCTCATTTTAGTGATTCTATTTGTCCTTGTGTGATGATGAGATTGATAATGTGTTGTCTTGCGAATTGTGATTTCGTTTGAACGAGTCAAAGTCATTCTCCCCTTGGAGTATTTTTGAGAATTGTTTGGTGTGTGATTCTTGCCGAGAGAGATGAGAGTTCCCAACTTGTTGAGAATATTTTTCTTGATTCTTAGGTACTTCATACGGTTGATTTAGGTTAAATAAATTTGTTGTTTACTACTTAGTATGTATATGAGAATGAATTGAATCTGTCCAGGTGCCATAGCAGGATGTTTGAGGTCATTTTGACTGTTTGATATGTCATCATCATTGTTAAGTAGTAGCGAAGATTTTATCCCAAATAACTGTCGTTTTGCTATCGTTGGGGGTGTTTCTGTGACTATGAGAGACTCAAAGAAGTTCTCGTCAACCGTACAGTAGGTGAAAGGGGTCAGATTCCTGCGTTCAAACAGCGGAACATTGGTTTTGTGTCTTATAAATTAAATTCGACTTTTCTTGTTGTCTGTGAAACGTTTTAGCTTGCTTAAAACATTATGGAACACATTTAAATATTCATCAGACATATAGTGCTCATGGTTGATAAATGGTGTTAGCATTCAAAAGGTGAGCACTCTAGATACTACTTTACTCAAGGTTCTTCTTCAACTTAACTGCATGTTTTAGTGGTCTTTTCAAATTTCAGATAATTTAAGCAAATGTTTTCCCGTCTGATATTTTAAAAACCGGTTGAATTATATTCAGTTTTCATCTAGAGAAATACGGTACAACAAAACTTTTCCAATGGCATATTTTTATGTATCTTTTTGTCTCCAATAAAGGAAGGAATAAAAAAATAATAATAAACAGGTGGTCTTCATACGTGTTCAGTTGGCTGTATGATCCACGAGTTTGCCTTGTAACCTGATGGTATTAGTTTCGAACCCCAGTAGGTAGCACAGCGGTTAGGACTCTTGCCGGCCATGCACATGGTCCGGGGTTCGATCCCCTGTCGACGCACATCCTATATCAATGGTCGGTCTGCAAAATTTGGGCTACCGGTATCACATACTGAAAATTCCATACTTGTGCCAAAAATATGGTTTAGAGTCAAGCTAAATGAAATATAAAATAAAAATATATAGTAGGGCCGGTATGTATACACTTTTAGATACATAAAATTCAAACAAAATATTTCCTAGTTTTGTTTTGAGGTGTGAACATCCTTTGGAGAAATTTATTACTGTACACAGTTAGCTCGTTAACGGTCTTGTCATAATAAGTATGCAACACTCCACTTTGCGAATTTATAGTTGATGTCAGATAATAATAATATAGTCATTTTATCCCAAACAATAATAACTATACAGAATGGAATTTTCGGCGTCTGTACATATTGCCGTAATATGGTTCCTTTTATAAATATACAAATACACGAAGTAACAAAACTGATAAAACCAGACAAATTGGACGTTAGCGAGATATATTGAATAATAAATAAGTAAGACGGTAAATAATATACGTAATAATAATAATAATTCTGGTTTCGCCATTAATTCCCTGTTTATTTATTGATTTAAAAAGTCCATAAGCTCTTTCCTGACATTTTTCTCTTCACTCAGAAAGCCAGTGCTAAATACGGTATAGCTGAATTTCTATATTTTGTTGTACAAGCATAAATTCTTATGAAATCACTCCTGGTTTTACACACCATGAGATATGAGGAGAAAGTCGGGAATTCATAAGATGTTCGGTATCAGACAAGATAACTCCAGCTAACTGCTCGCAAGAATCAAAATGTCTCATACATTTATTCCCTTTAATGAATTTGAACAAAGCAACAACTACAGTTTTAGCAGAAAAAAATGGTACCATCATTTATTTCGTTGCCTTCCCGTCAGCTGCTTACAGGGCAAAGACATTATTAAATGTATCTACAAAAACAATTTTAACATACTTGCACAGAGCTCATTTTAAACAAAAATCAATCGATCAATATACGCATGCACTAATAACATATATATATATATATATATATGTAATATTAAACACTATTCCAAACAATAATAATCATACACAATGAAAACTTTTTAGCATCTCGCGTTCGGATGAAAAATATCCAGTTACTAGGGCAAAGAAAGACTGAAAACCGCTTCTTTCTGAACGCACAAATCAGTTTTCAGGCGCTTGATGGAAATGTCTTCAGCAAACATGAAGAGAATTGAACTCTTTGCCTATTGATAATTTTGAACGATATTTTCGACGTCCACCTCATGACCCGTGTCGAGGAGATGCCTGCCGATGGCATTGTTTAAAGCATTTTTTCCATTTAGGCGTGAGCTTTTTGGTACATGTTCAGAAAATCGTAGATATGCTCTTCTTTCTGTTCTTCCAATGTATTGGAATAGTCTGTTGGATGGTAAGTGCAAAATAATCTATGCTCGTACAACCAAGTACAGGAAATCAACGATACCATATTTGGCCCGTATTCTAAGTGACAGAGACAATGTTAAGCGCGAAACCGATGACTTGCTTTGTTGTTAATAACATAATTTTGGCTTTCAAATTTTGGTTCTTTTATTTCTCACTTATTTTGTATTCTATTTTTTATTTTATTTTGACTTCAGCTTGATGCCATACCGTATTTTCAGTACAAGTATGGAATTTTCAGCATGGATATCGGTAGCCCAAATTTTACAGGCCGACCACAGATATCGGGTATGAGCCGGCAGGGGATCGAACCCCAGACCATGTGCATGGTCGGCGAGAGTCCTAACCATTGTGCTACCGACGCACACCCACGACCCTGAGATTAAGAGTCTTATGAACTCCTT